CTGGCGATGATCTTATGATGGGAGCAGAGTTAACATGGCTCCCGGGGCCGGGCCGTGAAGGTGCCCTGCTGCCCCTGCCACGTGAAGGCAAACTGCGTTGGCTCCCCTCTGCTGTTGGGCATCATGAAGAAAGTCTTTGACAAATCAAGAGCTGATACCAAATTCCAGACACTCCGTTGACTTGCCCCAGTACAGACACCACATTTAGCACAGTAACTGAGACTGGGCTGCTCCTGTCTAAGCTCCTGGGAATCTGCAGTCCCCTCTCAGAGGGACCTTCCCTGGTCACCTAGTGTCACTTTGTAACTCCCAGGCTTCCTCCATCATATTCTCCCATTTTATTTTTATTACTAGAGGCCCGGTGCATGAAATTCATGCATGGGTGCAGTGCCTAGGCCTGGTCTGTGATCAGGGCCATCTTCCCAGGCCCTGCCCCCCACTGCCACCCAACCCCGGTTCCCTGTTAGCCATCAGGCGACTGGAGCCTGCAGTGGGGGTGGGGTGGGAGGGGTGGGGAGGGGAGGGGGAGAAGAGACTGAGAGGTTGGCCGTTCTCACCCACTCACCGGTGCCCTGTCCCCTGAAGCTGGTCACCCTCTGTGTGTGGGGTGACTGGTGGGATGGGGGTCTTGGCCTGGTGCCGCCTGGGGCGCTGCCCGGGTCTCAGATCCCTGTTCACCATCAGGTGATCGGAGCCTGCCAGCCCAGGGAAGGGACTGAGAGGTTGACCAGCAGGCCTCGATAGAGTGATCAGGGCCTGCATCACCCTATCCTGCGTTGAGCGTCTGCCCCCTGGTGGTCAGTGCGTGTCATAGCGACTGGTTGTTCTGCCATTCGGTCGATTTGCATATTACCCTTTTATTATATAGGATTACTATTTTAAATTATTTTTAATATATTTTTTAAATTAATTTCAGAGAGGAAGGGAGAAGGAGAGATAGAAACCTCAATGATGAGAGAGAATCATTGATTGGCTGCCTCCTGCATGCCCCCTGCTGGGGATCAAGCCTGCAACCAGGCATGTGCCCTTGACCGGAATTGAATCAGGACCCTTCAGTCCACAGGCCACACTCTATCCACTCAGCCAAACTGGCCAGGGCTCCCATTTTATTTTTTATAGCTCTAATTACTACCTGAAATCATGTCATATATTTATTTGTTTGTTTATGGTCTTTCTCCAATGGGGGCAGAAGCTCCATGGGCTGAGGACTTGGACATAATTACAGCTGCATCCCACGCTCCAACACTGTAGAAAGCACTTCCCCGGCCTGTGTCAAATGAATAAAGGAGCAGCCACTGTTCTTCCACGGGAAGTAGACAGACAGGCGTAAAGAGTGCTTTCTGTAGAGATTCTAAAGTGGAGGCCATCGCTGAGGGCCACTGGGTGGGAGAAAGCAGGTCAAGGTGGGCTGTCTTCCAGGTGCTGAAAATGCCCTCGGCCCCTCCCAGCCCCTCACTGGCTTTTTTTTTTTTTTTTTTTTTTTTTGGTTGGGTCTGGCGCAGACCTCAAGGAAACATAACATTTTTAATAAAACCTCAGAGTCAACAAAGCCGAATGGTCTCGGGTGACCCTCCCGCCCGCCCCAGCTGTTGACTTTAGAAGCCAAGAGGTGGGGGTGTTGCCCAATTCCTGTGAAGTTCAGGGAGATATAAGCTAGAAGGGCCCGGCCCGTTTTATGTGAAAAAAACAAAACAAAACAAAACTCGTTGGGCCCTGGAAAGATTCCACCGCCAGCCAGAATCAAAGGTCCATTCAGAGCGACAGAACTCTTCACATTCGCTGCTAATGAAAACCAAACTTCTCGTCCCTCAGAGCCTTTCCAGGGGCTGCAACTGGAAGGGCCACCCCTCCCGCCACCCAGAGGGCCCCGCTGTGCTAAAATAGTTTTATGATAATATGGGGCTCGTATTTTTCTAATTTCAGGCGTCGGTGATTTAGGACTGAGTTGTTTTCATGGAAAAAGAACTGGAACTTGTGCGAGACGGGGAAAGCCTGCCACCTCGGCAGATAGCCCCACCGTGTGCGTTTCCAGGCCGAGGGCGCCCTGCCGCAGGGGCCGGGCCTCATTCACGGGTGTCCCCATGAGAGGGTCCCGAGACAGTGAATTCTGTATTTTGACTTCAAAATGTGTGAAATCTTAGAATCACAACTCAGAAAGGCAAACATATCACTCTCAGAAGCAGAGAAAGAGCCGTAAAGACTTGTGTCTTTTCTGCTTCTGCTTATAAAACAACATTTTCTTATTTCTCTCTCCTTTCTGTCTTTTTCCCTTTGATGATTTATCTTTATAGCAAGCTAGAGGCCCAGTGCCCGAATTCGTGCACAGGTGGGGTCTACCGGCCCACCCCAATCAGGGTGGGAGGGGCCAATCAGGGGCAGGGCCAGCCAGGGGGAGGGGCCGAGGGTGGTTGGCCAGCCAGCCCCACCCCCTGGTCGAACTCCCGGTGGAACTCCCAGTCAAGGGGATAATTTGCATATTTGCCTTTTATTATATAGGATATAAGTCATGGGAAACAAACTCAGGTGTGTAAGAAATATACCTTTTTCCTAAAGTTAATTTAATTTTTACTTTAAGCCTCTAATACCTTTAGCTGATGAGAAACTTAAACTCAACTTTTTCAGGTATTACTCTGCCCTTGTTAGGATTGAGAGGGGATTCTGTTCTTATTCCTCAGTTTTCTCATCTGTAAAATGGGGATAATGGTAGCCCTTAATGGGCTGAGTTTAAAATGGTAAGATTTTCAACATGGGTTATCCGGGAAGGCTACCTGTAAGAGGTGACAAATCAGCTAATGAGTTGGCCAAGCATGCTCTTGAACTCTGCTTAGATATTTATCAAGATCTAGTAGTTCAATATACTATACCTCTAACAAATGTGCTCATTTTAGACAATTTGGAAAATACCAGGAAATATTCTATAAAGGACAAAACAACTCTCACCCATCTTTCTAGTGATTTCATTCGAGTTTACCTTTATTTCTATTTTTAACTTATATTAATTGAGATATAGTATATGCAATGTATACCTAGCTAGGAAAACATGTTTATTCCTATGAAAACATTTATATATGTATAGAAAATAAAGGTCTGGATGGGAAATAAAACATCCCTAAAAATATTAACAATTGTTATTTTTAGAGGGGTGGGATTATGGGTAATTCTTCTTGTGCATGGGTGGGGTCTACCGGCCCACCCCAATCAGGGTGGGAGGGGTCAATCGGGGGCAATCTGTATCATCTACTTCTTATCCCACAATAATGCATTAGTGTAGTTTTAAAATCTAATATGTACACCTGGGCACCTCGGGCTCAGAATCTTACGGTCATTACATCTCCGGGTCACGGAGGAGGGTTGGGAGGCTGGACCAGACTCTGAGCCTGGACCTTTCAGTCAGAGAGGCTGCATGTGGCCTCAGGTGTGTTCAGGGGTTGCCATGAGCAGGACATGAGGCTTCACTCCAAACCTGTGGGGTGAGGGAGTCAGGGAGCGGGCAGGGCTGTTGTCACTGCACAGTCAGAAAGAGCAAAAACATTACCAAGACCAGGCTGTGCCCTAGGCACATATTTAAACACAATGGTCCCATCAGATGCCAGGAGCTCTGAGAAGCGGAGAGACACGTAAACCCGAGGTTGGGGGCACAGGGTCCTTCCTGTAACGTCGGTGCTAAGGTGCCTTCGGAACTCTCCGCTCCTCTCCACATCGTTTTGGACGAGCTTCATCCTCCTTTGCTCGGCCCATTGCAGCAGCCTGTGACCAGGGCTCAGCCCACGCTCCACACTGCACGGCAACCCCCTCGGACACGTACCCATCAGAACGTGCCTCCACTCCTCAGCGGGGCTCCCCAGTGCCCGGGACCAAGTCCAAGTCCCTCAGCGTGGCCTCAGGCCCCACAAGCTGAGCCTGCTCGCCTCCCCTACCCCATCGCCATTATTCCACCTTCCCCACCGTCCTCTCTAGCTCAGCCACACCCCGTCCCTCCAGGCCAGTGATGGCGAACTTACGACATGCGTGTCAGAGGTGACACGTGTGTCAGAGGTGACACGCGAACTCATTTTTTTGGTTGATTTTTCTTTGTTAAATGGCATTTAAATATATAAAATAAATATCAAAAATATAAGTCTTTGTTTACTATGGTTGCAAATATCAAAAACATTTCTATATGTGACACGGCACCAGAGTTAAGTTAGGGTTTTTCAAAATGCTGACACGCCTGAGCTCAAAAGGTTCGCCACCACTGCTCCAGGCCATGAGGTTCCCTCTACTTAGAAGGCCTTCCTGCTGCCTCTCTGTGGGGTGACTGTCTACTCACCTCTCCACCTTGTCCCCCCCGCCCCCCAATCCCACGGTTTAGCATTGTTTTCCTGTCTGTCTGCCCTGGGGGCTCCTCAAGGGCATGGCTGTGACTTGTGCGCCTTTCCTCCTGCTGTCTGGCACCTGGGGGTGGGGCGCGGCTTGGGTCTCTGTTGGGTGAATGAGTGAATGAACCCTGGCCAAGGCCTCGCAGACACCAGGCCCACAGAGCAGAGGGGGGTGGTGCGGCCCAGACAGCTGCCACCCATTAGGACACCCACGAGGCCCACTGTTCCCAGCAGTGGGCAGGGGCACAGAGGGAGGGTGGCTCCAGAGAGCTGGCCCTCGGCTGGCCCCTCCCCTCCGCCCAGGCTTCCTCTTGGCCCGGCTCAGGGCGGGCTCGCTCTGCGGGTGAATATAAATATATAAAACAAACAGTGCGCGTTCGCTGCAAGACTAAAAATAGGAAGCCTGGAATCCGGCCGGCTCCGCTAGCCGCTGGGCCACACAGTGCGGTGCGAATGTTGAGGGGATATGGCCCCTCGCCTCCTCCCGGCTCCCCAGCCCTCGTGGGGGGAGGTTGGGGGCACCCTGGGTTTCCATAAGGAACAGTTCATTCGTTCTCTCTGGCTCCCCCCACCCTTGTCCGTCTGACAGCTCATTTCATTAATGACCCCAAAATGAACCAACCACGGAGGCGCGGTCCCTGCTCACATGGCCAAGCTGGGTGTCTGGTGGGGCGAACAGCTGCCCCCGACCCTGGGCCATGCTGGGGAGATCCGGGTGACTGTGTTTATGGGGTGCATCTGGGGCAGAGGAGGAGTAAGGCAGGCCAGGGTCTGGCCCCGCACTGGGACAGCCCCACAGCTGTCTCCTCGGCCCTCACAGTTCCCTCCATTGTCTCAGGCCTGCAGGGCCCTGCCAGGACCTCTGTTCTCAGCGTCCAGGCCGAAGCCCTCTCCATGGGAGAAGCCTCGCAGTGCAGGGCTGCTCTCTGAGGCCGGGGGTGGGGGGTGG